TTTCTTTCACACCTCAAACATTTAGTGAACAATTAAGCAAATACAAGTAATCTGCAATAAATTACAGGTAGTAATAAAATAAACTACTAACTCTACGTCCACACCTACACGGGGATTTTTGAAAACGCAGCTGTTTCGTCCACGTAAACGACGTTTCAAATCAGAGAAAACTGAGATTTTTTAAAACTCCTTTTTTGCGTTTACGTGTGGACAAACGTCAAAGGTATGTGCCTTTTTTCACGTCACGCTGTGGCCACCTTATTGTTTACATGAGATGAGTTGCAGAATGGCAGATAGAGACAAAATACTGGTTTTACACACAGTTACTGTCCCTCCATTTAGAAAGGCAGAGGCGTCACGCTGTGATTATTTTACGTGTAGTTGTTTTTTTCATGTGTAATAATGTTCAACATTGCTGTCAATACATTTTTCAAAAATGCCTCTCTGTGCAAAATAGGTTTAAAAACATAAACAGCTGTTGGATCCTGTTAGTCTGTGATTTGAACAGCCCAGCGCAGGGGAGACCTACCTCGGCACTTGTGCAGGTGAAGCCAAAGGGCAGATTTGCTTCACCATATTTTCTAGTCTTTGTCTTAGAATGAAGTTGGTTTGGAAACATATTCAGCTATGCTTCATGTCCTGCTTTGCGTTTCTGTGGGCGCCCGTGCTAGCAGTGTCCAAGCGTTTTGTCCCTCCCCCCCTCTTTCATTCCGCGCCCCCCGCAATGGCTCTGCGCCTCCCCTAGGGGGCGGGCCTCACACTTTGGGAAGGTCTGATAATCCATTAAAATATCTCCAGTTCTGTGATCCTTGTAGCTACAGTTGTTAGCATGCTGCTAACTGTTATATCTGTATTCCAATAACCAATTTATGAAAAAACAAAAACTATGTGTTATGGGGTGTTAATCCAAAGGCTTTCCAATGCTGTAAAACTGGCATTTTAAAATGGGACACTTCGTGGTCTGACTTCCTTTTAGCGGCAGCAGAAGTGGACCCTAGAAAAACTGCAGTGATGGTTTGAACTTATGAAGCTTCAGTGTTTTTTCTGCTCGTTTGTTTCCCCTTTAAAGAAAATGGAAATTGGAAAAGAAAAATGCAAACCCACACAGATTAGAAGTCTGTGTCCACAATTTATAAGCTAAGGTGGATTCACAGTGCCTATTTTTGAATCAGAATCAGAAACTTTATTGTCATTGTCACAGGTACAACGAAATTAAGAATGTTCCCCGATCATTGCATCATCCCTAGCAATATCAAAATATAAATAAAACAATAAAATTCAATAAATAAAATAGATAGAATACTTAAAATACTAATAAGACGTAACAGTAAAACATTCAC